CACACACACACACACACACACAACGCACACACACACACACAACACACACACACACACACACACACACACACTCACGGGCCCTCGCCAGCACCGCCCTGGCCGCACGCGCCCGTCCCCCTCCCCACCCCCTCCCCACCCCTCTCTCCCTCCCCCTCCCCACCCCCTCCCTCCCCCTCGGGAGCAGGTGATGCAGACGCCGTGCGGCACGCCCGGCTACATCGCTCCCGAGGCGCCGGCCACTGCCACTGCAGACACTGTCCCAGCGCCCCTCCCCAGCAGTGCTTTGCCGGGCTGGCGGCCAAACAAAGCCGCGCAGACACGCACACACGGCCGCGAGGCACAAGCGCCCGCTCGCACCCTCTCCGCCCCTCTCTGAGAGGGCGCGGTCCTCGCTTGCCCTCGCCACGCACGCCACACTTCCCCCCGAGACTCGCTCGTACCCGCCTCATCCACAACCTCTGATGAGGGCTCTTCACACCTCCCCCCTCTTCACACCTCGAGCCTCTTCACACCTCCCCCCTCTTCACACCTCGAGCCTCTTCACACCTCTCCGCTCCGCACCTCCCCCTCTCCACACCTCGAGCCCCGCTCCCAGGTGCTGCGGATGAGGGGATACTTACTCACTTACTTAATTAGTTAATTATTTATTTAATCAGGTGCTGCGGATGAGGGGATACGACAAGTGCGTGCGGCGTCACGGCCCAGACGGCTGCGGCTGCTCGTGATGCGCTCACGGCCCCCGCCCCCTGGCTCCTCGGCCAGGTCGTGCGACGTCTGGTCGCTCGGGGTCATCGTCTACATCCTGCTCTGCGGCTTCCCGCCCTTTTACGCCGACAACGACGCGCAGCTCTACGAGAAGATCAAGCGAGCTCTAGCCGAGATCCAGCACCGCCACCCTCGCGCAGTTCTGCACCACCTTCTGCAGACCGGCCTTCTGCAGACCGGCCTTCTGCAGACTCTCCTGCACCACCCGCCCGCGAGGAGCGAGGCGGCGGCATCACACCCCTTCCACCTCGCCCCCAGGCGCGGCGAGTTTGAGTTCCTGCGGCCCTACTGGGACCCTATCTCTCTCGAGGCCAAGGCGCAACCTCCCCCTATCTCCCCCTATCTCCCCCTATCTCTCTCGAGGCCAAGGCGCAACCTCCCCCTATCTCCCCCTATCTCCCCTTACCTCCCCCTATCTCCCCCTATCTCTCTCGAGGCCAAGGCGCAACCTCCCCCTATCTCCCCCTATCTCCCCCTATCTCCCCTTACCTCCCCCTATCTCCCCTTACCTCCCCCTATCTCCCCCTATCTCCCCACATCTCCCCACATCTCCCCACATCTCTCTCGAGGCCAAGGCGAGCGCCTGTGCGCCACCGCCCCGCGGGCGCCGCCCACGCCCACGCCCTCCTCCCCCTCCACCTCCTCCACCTCCTCCACCACCACCACCACCTCCTCCTCCTCCTCCGCCGCCGCCGCCGCACCCTCCTCCTTCTCCGCCCCCACCTCCGCCCCCACCCTCCGCCCCACCCTCCGCCCCCACCCTCCGCCCCCACCCTCCTCCCCCGCCCTCCGCCGCACTCTCCTCCCCCTCCCTCCGCCCCCACCCTCCGCCGCAGGACATGGTGCGCAGAATGCTGACTGTCGACCCGAAGAAGCGAATCACGTGCGAGGTGCGCCGAGACTCGAGCCGAGAGAGAGCCGAGAGGCGACAGAGGCGAGGCGGGATGCGAGGGAGGAGGGCACCCCGCCGCTCGCGCACCCCTCGCGCACCGTGCAGCATGCCGCGACGGCGCCGGCAGGCCCACACTTCCCCCGCTCACTTCCCCCGCTCACTTCCCCCGCTCACTTCCCCCGCTCACTTCCCCCGCTCACTTCCCCCACTCACTTCCCCCGCTCACTTCCCCCGCTCACTTCCCCCGCTCACTTCCCCCGCTCACTTCCCCCGCTCACTTCCCCCGCTCACTTCCCCCGCTCACTTCCCCCGCTCACTTCCCCCGCTCACTTCCCCCGCTCACTTCCCCCGCTCACTTCCCCCGCTCACTTCCCCCGCTCACTTCCCCCGCTCACTTCCCCCGCTCACTTCCCCCGCTCACTTCCCCCGCTCACTTCCCCCGCTCACTTCCCCCGCTCACTTCCCCCGCTCACTTCCCCCGCACTCGCCCGCCGCCCGCGTGTGGTGCGCAGGAGGCGATGCAGCACCCGTGGCTCCGCTCGGAGGCGTCACACCTCACCGAGGAGATCGCGACGGTGCGCGGCACCTAGTGCGCGGCGCCCCGCCTCCCCGACCCCCCCCTCCCCTCGGATGCCGCCACGCCGCTCGCCACCCGCTCCCCGCCCGCTCCCCGCCCGCTCCCCACCCCGCCCGCTCCCCACCCGCTCCCCGCCCGCTCTCCACCCGCTCCCCACCCGCTCCCCACCCCGCCCGCTCCCCGCCCGCTCCTCACC